CTGAACAGCGAGTCAAGAGTTCGATTTCCAGCTGGCTCGACCATTTGCTGCACGTCATGTTCCTGCTCTCTTTTACTGTCTCGCTCCACAGTTCCAATTAAAAATGCAGCTGAAATTCTCCCAAAAAAACTAATTTTTAAACATTTGATTTCAAAACCAACAGAACGGGTTTTAGCTGCGTCTCGTTTGCTTCTGTGGGCTTAACGTTAGCAAGCTTTACCTACTGCTGAGACGCCGTTGTGTAACTTGTATTATTAAGTCTGTTCAATGTCCTATGACTCGTCTGTAGTTGTGCCACTTTCATATTTGTGCTATATTTTCATCATCATCCTCATATGACTCAACACATAACATAAGACTGCTTATAAATGCAGTGAATAGGAAAAATGATTCTGTTTAAACACACCATGCATTCAAACTCAGAATGTGGATGTTTGACCTATCAAATAGAATACATGGGCCATGCATTGACAGCGTTTGGCCAATCAGATGAAGCTCCAGCTGGCCTTCAGCTCCCATCACATTAATTAATGTCAATTTGGTGGTGACTGCAAGAGAGAAGCAAGGAGAATATCGAGAGATGTTTCTGTCGAGTCTAGAAAAAAGTGTTTTAAACAGAGCAAAGGGAATTGAATTCAGTGTCTTATAGTTATTAAATTACTATGTTTGACTGGTTGGGTTTTCATTTGCAGTCTGTTCAATAAAAGCATGTTTGAAATCATTTCTTTCATTTCTTTATTCAGTAGGAATTGCCTATTCGATGTTTGATGTCTATGTTAGCAGTATAGCTATTCAAACAGAAAGACATGTAGGATTTGAATATGCTTTAATATTTATATACTGCAAGTCACATTATCATCACAGTCATGGTTTTACATATTGCAGATTTTCCTCAAATCATGCAAGCCTATTTTGGGGACATAGCAACCACTGTTTGCAGGTAATTAGCTTAGCTTAGCATTAAGTCTGGTGCTAATTAACTCTTTTAGAGTTTCAATCACCTCTTAGTGTTAACTCCACACACACAGTGTCAGTCTTCTTGTGTAACTCAAAAAGCTCACCTTTATAAAATGTTGAACTGCTCCTTTAACTGCTGAGCTTTGGGAACACAACACTATTACTAAAAATGAGGCCAACTAGGCAAGGAACATAAGCAATCAGGGAATCATAGATGTCTGACAGATTTATTGTCAGTGTTTGATTCTTTAACCTCTCAAAAAAGTGATTTGAACGATCTAGTTTCCTTGTTTGCAATCTGTCTGATCATCTGACCACTTGTGTCTTATATTCGCCAGACTTTTCGCTTTTGATTTGATGAGTGCGCCGTTAACTGACAGAAATTGAAAATGAAAATGACACCCTAGTCGTTATAAAGTGAAATTACCCTTAAAGAGGGTGTTTTATAGAGTCCATCTGGCTTCTTCTTGTTACTGAAAGCAGAGGAATTTCTGGTTTCCTGCGGCTCCTTCTTTGGACGTTTTAATAGAAAAGCTTTTCATTAGAAGACTGCTGAGATACATGACAGCCCTTTGATCTCCTGCGTCTGTGTGTGTGTGTGTGCGTGCATATGCAAGTGATAGCGGAGGGTTAGTGCACGTGTAAAGTAAGTAACATAATCTGTATGTATGTGCATGTGTGTGTAGCACCCAGTAAAGGTGAGAACATGAAACACTCTCTTTCATATTTAATGAGTGGAGATGGGCTAAGGAATGTTGCAGTGTTCACAGGAGGTATTCCCGTGGGCTGTCAAGCTGCTCGCAGCACTCTGTTATATCACTCACAACCAAGTGTGTGTGTGTGTGTGTGTGTGTGTGTGTGTGTGTGTGTGTGCGCGCGGGGCAAATATGCATTTTAGTGAGTGTGCAGGCAAAAAATAGTGCATCCTACTGAAACTTTAATCATTTGTTTTGAGGGGATGGGGGCAGGGGTTCAGAGAAGCATATGGCACGTGCACAAACACTACACCAGCACTGTTGCGATCTCTCGCATGGGAGGACCAGGAGGGATGAGAGTTTGCATAGAACTCTATTGAGTCTGTAAACTAGGTCAAGGAGTATTATTAAACAGATGCAATGACCACACAGTGCATTATATCCCGTCTCTCACAAGCTGCAGCCGTGATCCTCAACCAGCCGCACGGTCCTCAGGAGCCTGAGGTGCTTCCTCTGGTTGCTTCCCTTTCTGATTAGGAAGCATTTTCTCCGCTGTTATCTCTGCTCTCATCCTGATTAACTTTGCATTGTCACTAATCAAAGTTGGTCTGACTCTAAGCCCGAGCAGCGCTTGGAACGCACCGTCCCCGAGCTCCGTGCTAGATTCAGCTTAGATGCTGTTTCAGCTGCAGCCTCTCACAGTATGTGCCCAACTTAGTTTTGAATGATTACACTATTATGCTAAAACACTACATGTGGGAATATGCTTTAAATGCTAATTGCTCATATCCTGGAAAGCAAAGGGAGAACTCCTTCTAGATATGTTTTTTTTTTAAGCTGTGTTCTGAGCTGTAGGCTGAGGAAAGAGGAAAGGGCAACTTTGACAGTCCGGTCCAGGATGACTGATGACTGTCAGGGTTTGAAGGAAGATGAGCTGTGATCACTGAGAACAAAAGTAGCACATACTGCAGTACCATCCACATGCAGAAAGAAGCTGAGGCAGCAGAAATATCTATGACTTTGCAGTCATACAGAGCTGTTGAAAAGTTACAGGCTACTTTTTGGGACAAGTTAAAACTCTTTACTGTATCTGAGCAGGTAGAAGTTTTAGGTTTGTGAGTTAATTTATTACTTTGGTCCAAAGTGAAATGTCTCAACATTCCTCTGACAGATTGCTCATGAATTATGTACCTGCACTTATTAATCTTACTGATGGTGATTTCCTGACTTTTCCTCTAGCACCACCATGAGGTTGACATCTGTGCTTGAGAGTGATATTACTCAACAACTATTAGATGGATTACCATGGACTCTGGCACAGATTAATGCCCCCCATCATGAAAAACGTTGGTTATGCCCAGACTTTTCATCTAAGGGGCATCATCAGATCAAAATTTCTGTGTGTCTCATTCGTTGATTCATGAGCCAATACCTGCAAAACTGCTGACACTCACATTACCCATAGTTTTACTTTGTAATTTGCTAATTAGCATGCTAACAGGCTAACATAATGTATATGACTGCTTAGCATTAATGTGTTTGTATGGTGATGGTGAACATGTTAGGAGCCTTTACTTGTGTAATGCAGGACTTAGAAGTTGATCAAGAAAATCTTCATCAACTCAGCCTACCCTTCAGCTGATCGACTGGTCGAGGAGAAAAAACATCTGCACTGTATCTCCAGATTAATAAAACTGGCTACAGTGCAATGAGTTCGCTCTACCTGCTAGTCTTATGAGCTTAAATAAATTTTAAATAAAGTATATTAATTATTTTTAACAGTTATTTTATTCTGAAATAAAAGCAAGAAGACCAATGTGCAACCACCCTAAAAATATTCAGATGATTTCTGAAGACAGAGCTCCAACAGATGGTGATCCCAGATCCCAGAATACAGCAGAGAAAAGCTAACACATTAAGATGATTTGCCACATTACTTGTAGCACTGCGATGTGAGTTTGCAAAGTTTAGACTTGACTTTTTGTCCATCCATTTAAACGAAACCCCTACGACTTCTTTGACATGTTAGTCAGTTAGTTTGGAGCTGACTTCAAGCTAACATTAAGTAAATACTAAATGAGTTGGACATCGCACTGTCCAGTCGGTTTTGCAGGTTTAAAGCTGTAAAATGTTCACAGAAAATGTTCTTTCCACTGCCAAAAATAATGCATTAGTCCTTGAAGGCTGTTGATGGAGCACTTTTATGAAGGTAACACCTGCGATTGTCTGACCAATGACTCACTGGTCATATGAAAGCGTATCCACCATCTAGTTGAAGAGTTAACTTTAGACCGCAGCCCCAATACTGAGGACATCCAATATGTAATGTTTCAAATAATTTAGCAGAGTGAAATCATCTCCTTTTATGATGCACTCCTGTGGTCAATCCATCCAAGGTTGCTGCGTGGAGGATTTACAACACATGACCGAGGACAAAGTGCAGCATTCTGAGGATTTCTGACAACTGCTCTGTGCATGTTTGTAGCTGTTTGACACTTCAGATGTTGGTATTTGTTTGAAGAATGGGTATAAATGTTATATTCCATTGAGATTGTCTTCCCTAAAAGCCTCAGTTTTGTTCAGGGATATTCGTAAAACGTGGCCTTTGTACACACAGGCTCTATGTCATTGTGCACACTAGTTAATTTTGGACTTTGTTTGAAGCGCTGACATCTGACTTTGATGTGTCATTCAAATTCCCATCACAAGTGTTGTGTTGTTTCATCTGTCTCTCACTGCCAGCAACTGACTGTCATTTGCTATTTATCGTTGGTAACTTGCAGATAAAACTGTAAAACACCAGCAGAAATGTGTACCAGTTGAGGCTGTGAAGTTAATCTATGCAAAGTTCCCACATCAAAACCCAATATTTACAGCTCGGAGAGGATGCAGGGCATGAATATTTTACTGATTCAAATTCAGCCACTAGATCTATCAATATTTGGTGTTATTTTTCAGCGCTTTCTTGGAGGGGGTTGCATTTGATGCGTGGCTTTAAAGAGCCAATACCCTCTTTAAATCAATCAATGTCACAAGTTGCTGCGAAAACACAGTTGTTTTATTTATCTCGCGTCATGTTGCCATTAATTTTTTACAAAAGATGAGATTTCAAAAAAAAAAAAGACGTCACAAGTCTGAACATTCAGCCTGCTGAGAGGGAACAACAGTCCTTCCAGTCAACATGTTACTTGTACAAATCAAATTCTTGGTAATTACCGACAGTAAAATGATCCTGTAAACTAATCCTGCCGCAAAGATGTTTTCATGCAGGATCAATATACTGCTGCAAGTTAATTGAATAAACAAGCTCTTCATTATTGTTGTCTCGCTGCTGTTGTTTTCTTACAGAGCTTCCGTACGGCTGGGAGAAAATCGATGACCCCATTTACGGCAGCTACTATGTCGAGTAAGTTGGGCACATCTTTAATATGTAATGACTTGCTTTTGATTTTTAGTGTAGCCTGCTGGTGCTGTATTAATCATATTTATTAGGAGCAGACTAGCGACGTAGCCTGGAAGGAGTTGCTCCTTATGTCTGCCTGCTGACACCTCACTGTTTGTTTGCAGGGGGAAGTTTATTTGGCTGCGTGTGCATCTTTATCTCAGGAGAAAGCATGTCTGTTCATCTCTACCCATGCATGTGTTGTCACACAGCGAGTGCTGCAGTGGCCTGTCCTCTCTATTGAACTGCGCGTCCCCTTCCCCGTTCAGGGGTGTCATTTTTATTTTTTTTTTGACTGGATGCTCTCCACTCTGGGGCGAAGGGACGTGGCTCTATTTTTAGACAGGCAGGGGGTGTCGTTTGGCTCCACATTGCTTAAGAAAACCTGCAGAATGACACTCGCCGCCTCACAAACCCTCTCAACACGCTTCCATTGTGGGTCTTTGTCGTCCTGTAAATACCAGTAAAAAAAAAAAAAAAAAAAAAGTTGCCAGACCTTGAAATTATGTAACTATGTAAAAATATAGTCAAGCTGTTTTGTAATTAGCACTGTGATACTGGGGTGTTCATTAAAAGATAAGGAGAGGATAGAAAGATGGTGTGTGTGTGTGTGTGTGTGTCAGTGCACAATGCAGTTTCAAAGAGTGAGGGAAATATCTAATGATGACTAATTATTTCACACTGGCAAATTACAGTATTTGTAGTCATTGACTATCTCCCCCCTTACAAACTAAATTAAGAACAACGTGGGACGTTAAAGAAAAATCGCTGCTCCGTGTGCAGGTTTCCTCCCAGCCTCTGATTCACATAATTGTGGTTATAAGACAGTCTGAATCGCAGAAGAAAAGCCCAGAATCAATCGTTTGTTCTTTTTTACTCAGCAAAAGCCATTCTGCGGCTGTTACACAATCTGGGGGACCGGCCGTTTAATTAATCATCACAGGAATAGCTGCTGTAGTGCCAGGTCTATTAGTTCTGATCTTTGCCGAGAGGGGGGCTAAGCTAAGTGTTAGCGGGGTAGTGTGGAGACTGAAATCTCTTCTCTCTGTGTGTGTTTTTGACCATCGTAGTCATATAAATAGAAGGACCCAGTTTGAGAACCCAGTCCTGGAGGCTAAGAGGAGACTCCAGCAGCAGCAGCAGATGCAAAGCCAGGGTCTGTCCTCACTGCCCCTCCCCACCATCTACAGAGGTAAGGACACCTTGCTGATCTCTTTAAAAAAACATTGATATAGAGTCATATTTGTTAACTGCTGGTATCTTTGAGAGAGTATTCTTGCTCTGTGTGTTGTAAACCTTGTCTTTTAAACTTTTCACATCCGTCTATGTGCTACTGAAAGTCTCTTGTACTTTTATTTACAGACAGGTGCAGTTTGAAAATGAAACATTTATCATGAATCTTAATTTAGACTAAAAGTCAAAGAGCAGGAAAATACTTCAGCTCAATCAATATTCTCCTTTAAAGCAGCACTTCCTCCGAGGTACGCTTATTTTTTCGCAGTCCTTGGCTGGTAGATTTAGTTTCCACCATCTTTGAGGACACAGTTCTTGGATTTAGGTTTATCTCAATTGCTTCTGTCTCTTCATGGAATCCCGGACTGATTTCACGATGCTGAGATCAGGACTGTGTTGGAGCCGAGCCATCTGTTGCAGGACTACTTCTGTTTCTGTTCTTTTTGACTCCGGCTGTAATGTGATGCTGCAGACTGAATTTGACACCTCACTGACCCGTAAGGCAAACTGAACAGTTCTGAAGTGGTCCGACAGCGGTCGTAAAATCTGTGGAATCTTTGAGGATTTTAGTGCAGCCGACAGCGACTGCAGGCTTACAACAGCAATCTATAGGAAGAGTGAAAATGACAACAACTTTTAGGTAAAGATGTGTGTCACAAACTTTTCACAAATCAAAATTCAACACCTTAGATAATATTCTCACTATCACTGCTGCACTAAATTCTATGCATCAGAGATGAAACGATTAAAACGATCAATTAAAATGTGTTATCGCCATATGGCCAAGTGCAATATCTGCACTGCAAGAGCTGCAATTTTTTGATAAAGTGCAGCACACAACAATAAAAGAAGCATCGTGGTGCGACAGAGCTGCCTTCACATTATACTCACCATACATAAGTGGAAATGATTGTTTGGCGCAGACCACAGTAAAAATTATATCATCATCATTTTAGTTTAGTTTCTTTTTTTAGTGGAAAAGAAATTAAAAGACTGACCTTCACACTTATCAAAATATTTGCAGTAAGATTTGTGTTTTTTTGACATCGTGTTCAGCCCAAATATGAATACATAATAACACTAATAATTTAATAATATTTATTTTAGCTAGACTGGCTGATAAAACATGTCATGTATAATTTAAAACTTCCAACTTCAGAAACAATTTAATCCTCTGATCTCAAAGCAGTTTCTGGGTGAGTTTTTTGGGGGTTTTTTTTGCTGCTGCCATATTTTTCCTCACTGTGGTTTCATTTTTCTCTGTAATATAAAGTCCTGCACCTCCATGGAAACAACACAACTCCAAAATGTCTTCTGTGCAGCATAACACAGTTATGTCATAAATCATAAAAAGCAAAACAACACAAGTTCTTTCATTATTTATGGCATTTTTTAAAGTGCCCACTGCTCTTGCCAACACTGCAGAGTGTGATTGCATATACCAAAGATATTTTACTACTTGTATCTTTTATTACTCTTCTTCATATTTGTCTCCGAGTTGCTCAGTGAAAAGCTTAAAAAGTCCTAATTATGTAGTGGAGCACATTATTTTTGTTTGCTTACAGAATCTGGTTAGTGCAAACAAAAAAGGGATTTTCATGAAATATCACATTTTTTAGGTCAGATTTGCATAATGTCGTCAACAAAAGAAGCACATAGCTGATATAATGATGCTCTGATAGAAAAGTAGCATGCCTTTTAAACCCATTGAAGGATTTTTGGGGTTCAGAGGGTGAAATAATTAATCCTTCATTCATTTCCAGGCTTTTCAGACAAATTGAGTGCATCTATACACATGAAACCAAACAGCTCCTTTCTGATCATCTATGTACCAGAATACTTTAAGATATTGTTGTCCATTACATGGAACGCTGACAACGGACAGGAACTTGATTCACAGATGTTACAAACAACATCACAAAGAAGTACAACAGCTCTTATTTCTTGTGCAGAGCAGAATTATTGTTATGCTGACACGAAGATGCATCAGTTTACACATAAGCCTCATTAAACAGTGGGTGGAAAGCTGGCATTTTGGTGGCACTGATAATAATACTTACTGGTCATATAAATAGGAGCGAACATGTGGCTTTAAATGTGATTCACTGTTTTGTTTAATGACTGGTTTTGCTGATTCCAGTTCTCACTCTCTACCAGTTTGTAGCAGAAGGATGTGCTGCTAGAAAAAAAAAAAAAACTGTCTGGACTGGTGGAGTGGAGGTTTGTTTCCGTAGTAACGTAGTAGTCCACCGCTCTGGGTAGAGAGACTGTCTCCGTGGTTACACTGTGTGTACACTCCATTGAGGCTCTCTCTCCTCCTTTCTCCCCACCTCCACCTCTACCTCCTCCTCCTCCTCCTTTTCCCCCTTCGAACTTTGATGCCAGTGGAGGATGCCAGCCCCTCTGCCACCCTCTCCAGACCCCCCCTCGCTCAGGTCGGCCCGGTGCCCGAGCGCTGCCACAGCCTCGGCGACCTCTCCCGCTCGCCAACTATCGGTCGCAGGGCTGCTGCGTGTGCTACATCCTCCTCCGCCAATGTCTCCCCACTCCGGCGTGTTCTGACTCGGCGGATGAATATGTGCCCCCATCAGCAGCAGCAGCAGCAGCAGCAGCAGCAGCAGCAGCAGCAGCCACTTCACACCTCCGCCTGCACTGTGGTGCTTGAGCAGCCTGTCTGTAGCCCCTTCTCCCTGTGGCACTTTGTCAGTAAGTAGGCCAAGAAGGAAGCAAAGGAGGCCGACTGTCCTTCTCATGGCTGCCTGCGCTCGTTTTGACTTACTGTAAGCATGCTAACTCGCAAGCAAGCTTCTCCCTCGAGGCAGCTGAAGGATTTGTGCGGCGGCCGTGCACTATGACCTGTATTATCACCGGGCATAAGCAGGCGGGAGGGTAATCACTCAGTCTCAGTCTGGACCAGTGACGCCAAACAAAAGGATGTAAACTAGCTCGCTAGCCATGTCTCCTTTCCAAGGTGACAAGATGGGAGACTTGGCTAAGTGTGACTAAGCTTGTTGGCTGAGATCCTCTCATTCCTACTTGCGACGCTCCTCCTGCAGACATTTCCCAGCTCTCTCTCCTTCAGAAATCTCCCAGTTGTTCCCTAACCCTCCCAAACACCTTCTCTGGGAGCTGATTGACGGCATGACATTTGCTGAATTTTGCTGCTTCCTTGGCGGGACTGAAGAACTGCACCACTGAGGCTGTCTGCACCCCCTCTGCCCACTATATCCCAGCATGGGAGGAGAGGAACAGATAGTTTTCTATGTTTGGGTGCGCTAGGAGGGATTCTGCCTTTGTACCTTGCCAAATCTATTGAACCATACCTGCATCTTTCAGCACCACAGCCCCACCTATGTCCGAGTTTGCTCTTTCGCTGTTGAAATTCATACCCTGCCAGTGTTTTTTCCTGTGGCTACACCCATATCTTAATGGATACGCTTTACCCATGCCCCCACCCTGTGAGCACTGCCCTGCACCAGCTTTGAGGTCCTTTCAGTGATTGCTATAAAGCCTTTGGAGAATTGCGTTTGCATTTGTTTAACCTGTTTGTTTGTGTCCTTTGTAGAAAAGCCGCTGTTCACGCGGGACCCCACTCAGCTGAAAGGCAGTTTCTTGTCCACATCGCTCCAAAAGAGCAACATGGGCTTCGGCTTCACTATTATCGGAGGCGACGAGCCCGATGAATTCCTCCAGGTCAAGAGTGTTATCCCCGACGGGCCTGCTGCAGCAGACGGGAAAATGGCCACAGGTAAGCCTCAGGCATGTCTGACACACCACCTGAGACTCGGTCAAACTGAGCCACTCTCACAAACAAAATGGAAAAAAAGAAAAAAAAAACATTTCTCTACCTTTATCTCACCAGGTGGTCTCCTGAGATAGCTGGCAGTGTGAAGCACCGAACACACACAGAACAATAAACTTCACTCAACAGAGAAAAGTTATCTTTGCATATTAAAAACACATTCCTAATGGCTGACATGCATTGGAATATTGTCACGCTTTGAGATACAGATACTTGCAGAGATTCCTGTAAATGGCCACATTGCGATTATAAGTGATGTTCCTTCTCGCAGTGAAGCATCCATATATCGACATAGAGCCGAAGAAACGAGGCTAAACCCTGCATTTTTCCACATTCTTTCTTGTTTGCAGTGTTCACACATGACATGAACATGGGGTGATTCATTCACAAGTGGACAGCTCTAAGTACGTCAGTTCATGCGCGGCGTTAGAATGCGTCTCCAGTGACCACTTGTTATCGGATCCCACTTCCCATGTCCCCTAATGCGCACACAGTACACTATTGAGTTCACACAGAGATATATGTAGCCTCCCTGTCATGACCACGAGTGCACAACTTCTCCCACATTTTCTCTCTCTCTCTCTCCACCGTCGCTGTTAAACAAAGACAAAAACGCCAAAAAAATAAAGAAATCTTTCAACAAATAGTGCATTTTGTTGATGTTTGCAGGTGCAGTTCGCCAACTTGCATTGTGTAAAGCTCCGTATTCATGTCTGTGCACCAACTGCAGAGTTTTGTTCTTCCATTAATCATGAAGGGGACTTTACGAGCCCCATAACTCCTGGCTGCGGCCACATGGGGGTGGAACTGCAGCACACACGCACAAATGCGCTCGCACATGCACACCGAGACGAACCATCTGCACCAAAGGTCAAGGGAATAGAAGCGGCAGGCTTGTTGGCGCTCTCGGTATGCAATGATGTGTCTATCTGTGTACGCTGGGGCAAATACACAGCTCATAGTGGTCATTTATCACACGTAAAGTAAAGCTGGTCCGGGAGTTTCCTCTGTAGTAATTCTCGTCCTCCTCTCCAAAACAGCTCTTACTTACTAGTGCTTTAACAGATTTCTTTCAGAACACTGGGTCATAAATGTCCCCATTTTTTTTCACTAATGTGTGGGTGCAGCGGCCCAAAATAGATCCCTTGGTGACTAATAAAGCTTGTCCTGACAATTCTGCGTATAAAGCATTTTGGGTTTCTGTCTTCTCATCCCAGCCTCCTCCTTTGTTTTAGAATTCCCCTCTCTTTTTTTTTTTTATATGCATTCTTTCCCCAGAAATAACGACGAAATCCCTCCCACTTCTCCGCTATCCCACCGCTTCCTCCCTTCAGCTCATCTCCATTTCTATCTCGCTCCATCCCCCCACTTTGCCTCCACAGACTTTGTGTCCTACTTCTGCAGCAACAGAGCTAGCTCGATCACAGCAACTCAGAGCTCACACGGAAGAAACCCAGGCCTGCAGAGGTGTGAAATTCCCAATTTCAGATAGATGATTTTTGCCGCTTTCTCCTCATGACCCCATCTGGCTGTCTCGACTGCTTGATTACACAACTAAAGCATGTGTAGGATAAAAGTAAAAAAACAAAATCCAGTGTATAATTGCAAGACAGAATGCAGTGCAGTTATGTGCAGTCAAGACAATAGTTGTTTTTTATACAAAAGATTTTTTTCCAGAGAATATTCAGGTTTGTTATCCATGATTTTTTTTTTTTTGGTATTTTTGCAGAATACAGAGCACAGAGTGCATTAGCTTGAAGATGACAGGCTTAGTTTAGTGCCAGAGGCATTTAAAATGTAAAATTAAGTGGGTCTGTTGGTACAGTATGCTTAAAACTGGGGTGTCTCACTGCTGCAACACTCACTCAGCACCAGAGGGTGTATTCTGCTGAACTCCATATACGTTCTACAGTGCGTGTTCTGTTTGGATAAGACTGACTTTTTTTTTTTTTTTTTTACAGATTCAGTCTCATTATTTATTATACTGTAAATTCTTCATCAAAAGCACAAGATGGCAAAGAACTCATGTGTGGGTTCTTCCAAAAGATTTATTGTATCAGCATTTGAAGGGTTGAATTTGGAGCAGTCTGTCGATTAGCTGTATCCATTTCATCCTGCAGGAGCTCATCCCAGCTGATATTAGGTGTGAATACACACTGGACAGGTCACCAGTCCATCACAGAGCTAACTAAGACAACTACACACACCTACAGCCAGTTTATCACCATTTAAGCTACAAGGCCATTTCAGCCTCAGTAAACCCACACACGCTCAGGGAGAACACACAAACTTCTCATAGAAAGGCGTCAGCTGGCCAGCACATTTGAAACCAGAACCTTATTGCTGTGATTCAACAGTGCCAACCACTGCACTACTGTGCTGCACAACAATAACAGTTGATTTCAGACAAAAAGGCAAATGAAAGCTGGCTGGAAAAACAACTCTCACTCGCTGGCTTGTGTGGGAGAAATATAATGAAGGCAATTTGAACTGTGTAGTTACACATATCTAACATAAAATATACACAAAGTATATAGTCACTTGTGAAATGTAACTCTAGCACATAATCAGAAGGTTGAAAGGAATCACAATGTGGAAAATGAACAGCGGCTCTGTCCACATGCGAGGTCACAGGATTGGCAGAGCAGAGATCTTGAAGGGGTTTTGATGTTAGCATACATGCAGTTCCCGACTTTAAAAGCGAGTCAGGCGGTGATCACACAGCAGTGGGGCTATGACGCACATTGGGCTGCAGAAAAAGTGACATTTGGGATGATGCGCCACATTTTCTTATCAGCCGCTCTCAAGATCACCTCATTTTTCTGAATTCTCAGCGTGGTGCTCAGTAAACTCACAAGTGGACCGAAGATCACTGAGTCTGATCATTTTCTCCTCAGATGTGATAGAACACTTCAGTGACAAAAATAGCGGTTAAAAAAATACTACACGGCACTAACCGAGGTACCGTTAGGTCCTTGAGATTGTTGGAAACATCGTCTGTGGCTGACTTTTCAAGGTTTCCAGCTGACATTTAAAACAAGCTCTGTAATAGGGTTTTAAATAGATTCTGACGCTAAAGCTACGAGTTAAGGCCAAAAATCTTGTTTGTAGAAATGTGGAAGACAGAGAAATAAAGGGGCAGCACTGGTCATCTGCTGCAGCTTGTAGATATTAAGACAATATTCTTTTATTTTTAACTTTAAAGAGAGAAAAGGCTTTAAGATGAGGATAAAGTTTGTGTTTAAAAGGAGAGTCCCGGGATGATAGTAACAGCCCACCTTCTGCACAGGAGGGAAATAGTATACAGTTAATGTTCCAACCATGAACAGACCTTTTTTCGATGTAACCTGTCATCATAAACAGATAGTTAGCCAATGAAAATGCCTCAGGAAGTAATGCCAGGTCGCTGTGGTAAAGTCGTTAGACAGACAAGCTAACAGCTGAAGTAGTTGTGGTGGAAAAACTCATGTAAGACCTGCAAACTACTCGCTACAGCCCCCTGCCTGCTACTGCAACATGTTTCTCAAAGCTTGACAGCCCCACTGTGCCTACTTAGTGGACAGTCAGTTACATCATGCACTATCATACAAGTTTTGTTTGCAAAATGGCCAAAATGCACTTTGGACTACATGTCACTCAGTTTGGCTGCACAGTGAAACACAAAAACACCCAGAGAGCAACCCGCTGAGAGTCCAAACAGCTCCGTTATCACACCCTCGTCCTCTCAGCGGGGAAACAGAGACGCCTTGTGTTGACAGACTTTTGAACTCACCATTAGACGAAGATGAATACATGTCAGCAGGAACATGCGAGGATGGGATGGTGAAAGATGAAGCGGTGAGGAGCTCAGGCCTTGATCCCAGTGAGGGTGGTGTGAGGTCAGTGTGGTCTGGAAAACACATGGGACTGCAGGAGCTTTTATGGCGGATGGAGAGAGGCCTGTTGGATGGCTGGGATTTTATTTTTTCGTCTTTGTTCTCTCTGTTGATGCATCCATTTTTCTACCCTTTTATCCATCATCATGATGACCATGTGTGTTCATTTGGGGTTGTTTTACTGAAATTACAAAATAACATATTTTTCTTCTCATCGCTATCAGTATGTAGCCATGAGTTGTTTTTTTTTGTTTTTTTGGAGAAATTTTCAGTGGAATCTAATTTGTGGTGCTCACGGTAATGGGAAATTGCTCTTTTGCAAAATCAACAATTCGATCTTGAGGTGTTTAATAAGGTAGCGAGATAGAATGAAAAATACTTTTGCTCCCTAAAATTAGATTTATTTTTCAGAAAACTTTCTTTTTCTTGTGAAATGCTGGATTGATTTACGTATTTAGGCCTCTGAAAAGGATTCTAATTAAACATGTGAAGGTTAATTTAAGACATAAATTCTTAGTTATGTTTGAAACAATGGGTTCTTGACTTCATTTACTTCTCATTTTGCCCGCTGAAGTGATTTCATTAACTACATTTTTGTTTTAGCGGAGCACAAATTCACAGGAGAATTGAACAGATTAGTCACCAGGAGGATACATACAGCTCATATGTTATCAGTGGTTAGCTTGGTGGTTAGTGTTGCTTTCTCAGTAGTCCCAGAGAGGCATAGAATAACTGAAACTACTAAACTGCCTTTACCAACCACTCAAGTAGGAGTTTACACCCGTGTCCTAGTTGACAACTGTGTGAAATTTAGTTGAGTTATGGCTAAAAACAGGTTTTGTGAGGTGAAAGTGACATTTAACGACCAAAATCTAATCTGTTCATCCTTAAATCCAAGCAAACATTTGTGTTAAAGAAATTCACCAAAGACATTTAAGGCATATTGTGTTCATGAGAATGAAACATGCTGGTGGACAGACAATAACTCAATGCCTCCAACAGCACAGAGGCATAAAAACACCAGCAGCTTCTTAAACAGGCATCAACTCAAGTTCATATCAGCCTTCGTCCATCTATTTTCCAAAAGAAATTAAAATGATTTTTCTTATACACAGGATTTATCCAAGCAATAGCTGATAGGAGTTTATCGTCTCGGTCTACAGTGGGTAGCCAATTAAGCTCTCCAGGTGTCTTTTAAATTTCAGCTGACTTAATTTAAAACTAAAACTTTGTTTTACAAACACCATACCAAAGACAGCAGAAGCCAGAAGCATTCCATGTTTAGGTTGTGCAGTCGTCCCGTTCTTGTGAATGCAGGATGTTTTTTTCAATGCCTTCAGGGAAGTTCTTGAGATTTGGCAGAAACTTTAAAGGATAAACTGATTAGAAATTGGTCTTTAAAGGTCATTGTAACCTCACAAAACACAAGAATGTGCACTGTAATTGTGACAAACTTAGACACAGATGTCTAAAAAGTTAAAAGATGAAATGGTGGCATTTTAAATCCAGGAGGTTGAAAGGTCAAGTCTGAACAGACATGGACGTCAACTGCACCTTAACTGGTTGGTGGAGACGTACAAACATAAGGGCAGTCATTCTAGCATTCAATTCCTCCTTTTCAGACCATCCATCCATCCATTATCTATACACCACTTAATCTTCACTAGGGTCGCGGGGGGGCTGGAGCTATATAAATTTATACAGCACCAATTCACAAAAGAAGTCACCTCCAGGTACTTTGCACAGTAAAGGGAAGACATTACAGTATTAGATTACAGAGAGATACCCAAATATTCTCTTTGAGCAGGTCTTTGGTGACAGTGGGAAGAAAAAAACTTCCCTTTAAGAGGAAAGAAACCCTCTGGCAGAACCAGGTTGAGGGAGGGCGCCCACCTTCCTCGACTGGTTAGGGTGAGGGTAAAAAGATGGTGGATCTGAAATCAGACATATCATTTAAATTAAACATGATAAGCAAACAGGTTCTAGAAAAAACTACTAGTAACTTTTGATCTGCAATCATGAGTGACATTTGAATCATTTTAAGGGATTTCGAGCCCAAACGTCAAGAGTGATCTAAAGCAGTCTATTAGTAGATTAAATTCTGTGACCATCATCATTTAAATTCATTTCACCATCATTGTTCACAGAGACGTTGGCTGAAGTTTCAGCAGCTGATGTCACTGAATCGAGGCCCAAAAAGCAGTGTGCTCTGTGAACTAAACCCTTTAGATGCATGACAGATCATGTGTCTATCTGCCAGCTCAAAGCATTCTGTTGTTGCTCTCAGCCTCTGTGCATTTCCTCTGTAATCAGAAAGAATGAGATACATGGGCACAGCGAAGGTGCTCTGAGGTCACGGCACCATCATTTGTTTTCTGCCAGTGTGCTCAACTATTGATTCTGACACCGGCGCTCAAGGCAAATGTCGGCCACGTTTACCCGGATTAATTAAAAAGTCCCTCATGTCACGTTGCCTCGAGGTGTGAGCTCGCTCCGTCAATACCGGCGGAGCGTTAAAACTTGGAAAGCGTTTGCGTGCGACACAGTTTACAATAAGAGCGAACATTTCGGTGATATCTTAACTTCCATTTACCTTGGGCGCCGCGACACGAAGGGGTCAGCTGCACTCCAGCAGTCAATCCAGGAAATCAATGTGAATTGCCTTGTTGTTCTCTAAAAAAAGTGTCATTGACCCAGCCATTAGTGCTATTATAGTGTCCTGCTCACATTTTAAGAGAATTGGACAGCATGGAACTTGTAGTTAGCAAGGTGAGAGGCAATCACTAATGCACACGCTTTGCTTATTAATCACAGTGGATCCTTGTTTTGCACGCTTTCTCTTCGCACAGTCTCACCCTGCCCTCTCCCCAAAGAGCATGACAATTATGTCTGCAATTAGAAAATAATTGTTTTCATTATCAACCCAGGTAATGCTGTTTGTCAGACTTTAATATAGATCGTGCCTTGTGTTCCCACTTGCCCAGAGTTTTAAGAAGCCGCATGGTGCCTCCACAGTGGAGCACAAATCACTATATTTAGTAATCCGGTTGAGACAAAGATAAGCCTGGATGTGGAGTGCTTTTGTGTGGGAACAGTTAATTGTCAGCTAGGTTTTATCTACAGTGCCGTATACTGCAGCAGGCAAATAAACCCACTCGGGGCCCATAAAAGGCAAACATTTTAGCCACTTGTCATCCGCACGGTTTTACACTTGAAAGGCAGACAGGACATTATCTGTGGTCGGGTTCATCTGTGGAGGAGATTGTTTATGGCTGTAAGAGGAAGTGATGATATCGTGTACTGTTGATTGAATATTAGAGCAGGTGTAGGGTCTTAACATCAAATCTGGACCAGCTGCTCCTCCATAAGCATTCGTAACTCAGTGCAACCACTTAAAGGTTTCATTTATTGGTCCACAATGAATACATTGAAACAAAAACCTTCTCATCCATGTACCATAAATAGGAGTAGCTGCTATCTTTGCAATTACAGTTTAATTTGTCTGTCAGATTCTTTGCAAAGCAACAGCTTTCATTAAATGTTTACAGTCCATTAGTGCATGTATTTTATATCATACATTGTAAAGAATGTTTATCCATCCATAACATCCACCCACAACATTTCTGCTTTTTGCTTTCCTCCATAACTGTTTTGGTGTCATATTGTCATCTGACAAGCTGTTTTCTGTTCACTTGGAGAAAATGTTGTCCTTCAAAGGCTGTGTAAATCCGAACCATTAAAGGAAAGAAAATGCATTACATTGTTAGCATCCCCGGTTAGATAAATAGATTGAATCACACAAGTTCAGCAAGGTTGTGATGCAGAGCTAGAAAGACCTTATTGAAGAGAAGTTGCTGCTCAGCTTTGCCTCCTTGCGTTTCTCGTATTTTGATTAACTGTAATTTAGTTCTAATTGTAATTTTATGTACCATTAAAGCACAGTATAAAACCACACAATAAAAGCCTGTGCGTGGGTCCTGCCTATTACCTGATCTTGAGGTTAATCGCTTCCAGCCGCCCATGTCTGAGCCATTATTCCTGATGGTCCAGCCATTACACCTCACCATTACGTGTCTTTCTGTCCTTCTCTCTGCAGGTGATGTCATTGTGTACATCAACGACGTGTGCGTCCTGGGTACCACCCACGCTGACGTGGTCAAACTCTTCCAGTCGGTGCCCATCGGCCAAAGCGTGACGCTGGTGTTGTGTCGTGGCTACCCTTTGCCCTACGACCCGGAGGAGGCCGCCAACTCCAACAACAACACCACCACCATCATCTCCCCACTGGGCATCATGGAGCAGCGGCCCATCATGGTGAACGGCAGGACGGGCTACGACAACTACCTGGACTATCTCACCCGCACGGCGCGCTTCGTCACGGACCCCAGCCAGGACCAGGTCAACGCCCAGCAGCAGCTGCTCACAGCCCACCCGGGTGACACCCACCTAGACGGCTCGCTTCCCCCCACCACCGGCACCACGCCCCCCGACAGCGTCTCCATGGCGTCGTCGGGAGCGACCCAGGGGGAGCTGCTGACCCTGACCATGGTGAAGGGCATGGATGGTTTTGGCTTCACGATTGCGGACAGTGCCACAGGCCAGCGGGTTAAGCAAGTCCTGGAACCTCAGGGCTGCCCGGGTCTGTGCGAGGGCGACTTGATCGTGGAGATTAACAAGCAGCCGGTGCAGGGATTCACACACACGCAGGTGGTGGAGCTGCTGAAGGAGTGTGCCGTGGGAGCTGAGACCAGCCTGGTGGTTCAGAGGGGTGGAACAGGTAAGAGCAGGGGCTGCAGGTAGGGATGGTGGTGAAGATCGCTGAGCTCAGCACGAGCGCTTGAATCTCTCCACCGTATTCGTCCTTCCAGCTGCATCTGTCTGCCTATTCATCTCTATCGTCTTTTGTCGGTGTAGCTAAATGTGTGTGTGTGTGGTCCAGTCCAGTGGCTGCAGAAACCTGTTCTACAGTCCTGCAGTGCACAGCGATGGCTGACTGATGCACAGCTCCTCTCGAGTGCCCTTTCTAGTCCTCTTTACTCTTCGCTCTTTACTCAGGAACAGCTTTCTTTCACTTAAGTAGATGCCACTCTGCTCACTGAGCCATACCTCAGAGCAGTCAACAATATAGTCTGATTGAAGTGTGTGCTTTTCGCAGGGCTAAGGTATTTTCAAAGTCACTTTTTGATTTTTTTTTTCTTATCATGTCAGTCCCATATGTATGGTGAATTTTACTGTCTTTTGTGAGCCCCAAATAAAAGCCCCCGAATCAAAGCGTGTCAAAAGTAGCACCGTTTTTCCTTGAAATACTGGTAAATGGCTCTGAAGTGCTTTCAACCCTGTGTTTTCAGAATGTGAGACCCCTCTGACAATCATAATTATGCACTGCACTCTGCTCGTGAGTCACACACAGGGTTGTTTTTTGCCGAATCAACAGGTAGCTGCCTGTTTTCTGCTCTTTGCGTGTGTGTGTGTGCAGTATTGTCGGAGACACTGTGCACCAAGTGTGTGCAAATGCAGAGCCACCAAACCTTTAAACAGCTTTCTGCTAATGGCAATGTGTTTGACACTGAAAGGAGAAGAGGAAAGTCTTGTCTTCCGTAAATGTATATGTGACTCAAATGACGGAACATAAGCTGAGTGTAAGCCTGCTGGGATCTGCCTACAAACTGAAATTGCCTCCTCATGGAGTAGCAGAGGTAGTGCATCTGTCAGCAGTGACTCAGCCAAAGCTCCGACGCTGAAGATTAAAACGTTCGCGATTTTAATTAAATCTAGAAGCAGCAACAGTGGCTCTTCATCAGCTGAGCAGATAGGATCTGTCTTTGGAACCTTGTTGTTGAATGTTGTTAAATGACTGCTCTCTTTGCGTTTACCTGTCCTTGATTTATCTTGGCATCCTCTAAATGACGACACGTGAACTTTAGCACTCCCTCATTCCGCAGCGTGAGCCGGAAGCCAACTGGATTGGAAAACCAATCCTGCTGTTGCTTTTGTGAGCAACCAATTTGTAGTTCTGTATTTTGCCCCCTTTGTGTCGTGTAATGTCGCATACCAATCATAATGCCAACTGCCTGGGTGCCACAGACACCACTGAGACTCACCCACAAAGGTCAGCAGCGCCCTCTGAATAGATTTATTGCCATTTATTTCTTTATTAGGCTGCCCATGTTTCTGTCAGTGAGCAGCGAGCCAACACACTGGGAGAGGAGCAAGAGAGGGAAGGTTCTAGGAGTGGAAATGAAGATTATTATCTAAGCCAGAGAAGATACAAAAAAAAAAAGCACCGCCATCTCAAAAATCTCCAATCTGTCGGCACACTCCCCACATAAAAACACACTCTGTCCGATCTAACGGTAAAGTGCTCCCGCCATCTGTCCGGGGTTCTGCACTCGCAGCAGAGCTTTAGAAAGCAGAAACAAATGCTTCCATCTAAAACGGCCTCTGAAGGCGATGGCATCCTTACTTACATGCTATATTTCATCTCATTATTCTAAATCTGGATGTGGTTCGGCTCCGCTGCACTGCAGCACGTCGGGGCTCAGTGTCACATCTGTCGGTGTTGATTTCTTGTGACTTGACAAGTCGTGAGTACGAGAGGTGGATGATGAATGTCAGCGCCGTCCAGCCTCCTCTCACAGTAGCATGACCACGTATGGCACACGTGTGTCGAAAGGAGTAAGGCTGAAAAAAGAAAGGTGCCGTTTTAGATGTCATCTTGAGGGTATTTTTCAGTTTAAACCAGGAAAACACTTAAAGCTAATTATTATCAAACACTTCAGACACTCCTGGGAGAAAAGCATCACAATCAACTCTTTGTAATTTTTATTTTCAACTCTCTTTGTAGTGATGGAGAGGAACGAGGAGAAATAGAGCAAAGTTATAAATATGTACCTGTTTTTGATGCGGCAAAGCCAGTGATGTCTTGTGATGCTGGTAAATTCTCTGCCATTCAACCAAACAGGACTGACAAGTTTATGACTTTGTTTGCATGCTAGCAAGTGAGCATATTTATAGCAGCGAACCCCTGTAATAGTTTACAAGATGAACCAAGTGGGTCAGAAGATTGCTCATGTAGGAACTGAAGCACAATATTATGTTCCTGTTTTGGAGTTGTTGTTGTTTTTTCTAGCATTTGCTTCTCTTGTGTGACATCCAGTATGGTTTTACCTCGTCAAGCATCTTGAAATGATCTGAAAAGGGAAAATAAAGACATGCAAGGAAGTATTAATGAGTAATGAGGCGTAATACCAAAAATGGGTGCACAGATAGACAGTGGTGCGTCACTGTGAGTCACTACGTCCTTCAACCCTGTGCTTGTATCGGACCAATTTGAAGACTAATTGATAAAAATCTGCCCCGCTTCTGTAAATATGAGCATTTGTCCTCCCTTTTATAGTCTTTTTTGACGCCAGACTGTTTAGTCAGACAAAACAAAGTATGCCCAGGTGTCACACTGTGCTCCAGAAAATTGTGATGGACATTATTTTTCCTTTGAAATATTTTTTTGAAAGGGTTTTTCATGCTTTTATTAGACCTCCCACCTACAGGTAAAGTAATAAATGAGTCTCCTGTCAGAACCCTGTGGTTCATCGTCAGCACTTTAACCCCTAGTTGAAGCGCCTGAATGGCTCATGTGTATATAACTCCATGCTAATAGGCAGCTATCAAGCATTTATCTTAATGCACTTTCCTTTAGTGAGGGTCATTTCATTTCATTCAGAGATTTGGCTTGATGTGAGGTGAAAATGGATACGCAAATCAGTTTAACCCTCTGAACTCTAAACAGTTTGCAGGCCTTTTATTTGCTCCTGTCACATTTTTATTCACTTTGAGCACATTTTTCAATGCAGTATGAAGTCCTGCACCTCTATGGAAACAGCACAACCATGACTAGAAGTAGCGACAACTCAAGGAAACCTTTTTAGAATATAAAACAAAGATTTAACGTCATAAATCGTTGTAGCTGAATTTTAGTCACATGACTTTTGCTCGCAGCTAAGTCACTAATTTTTGTCACGGGTGTAGTGGGGAGCACAGAAGTTTTATATTTTTTACAGAATCAGGTGCAAGTGTTTCATTGTTGGCATGTTTTTAAATAAATCATACATAAATTTTGATGAAATATCACAATTTTAAGCTTAGATTTGGATCATTTAGCTGATGTGGCACCTGACAGATGAGGGGCTCGAGGACTGTCAGAAACTGTCACATTCTTTCTTTGCTTGAAGCTTCCGATTCTAATAAATGGTGTAATTTTTGCAATTTAAAAAAGAATAACGTGCCTTTTTAAACCCATCAGGCTTTGAAAGGCAAATGTTTGAGCTACAAGTTTGGATATGCTCAGATGTTTGTTTTGAAATTATCATGTTTCACCAGTGAAGTTAAAGGGAGACAAGAAATTAATTGTTGCACTAAATTAGTTTAATTTCATGACATGAACAAGGGAATTATTGTTGTACATATGTGTGTGTTCCTAACCACTATTGTCACCAACATAGATGCTACAGATTTAAGATTCCCAGCAACTACTGTGGAACTCGATGTGCAGTCGATTCTCTTTTTCAACTCAGCTTCCTCAATAAGCTCCAAACATTTAGCCAAGCTATTACCCGTCGTAATAAAACTGTCACCATGCTGCCGGAGTGATGTTCTTCCTCTTAACACACCGCGGTCTGGCCTCCACCTTGGGACCACTGGACACTGGCCACACAGTGTAATTGAACTGGCCATTTCTGTTGTTCAGGGCCACTAGGCAGCGCAACACAGAGCGAGAAAGACTCAACTGACTGATATCTGTCACCAAACAACTGTCACGCTTCAGTCTCTGGCACATTCTCCAAATATTTGCCAGTTCAGGAGCAGGCACACGGCTCATCACTTTAACTGAAAACACAATCTGAAGCAGAGGATCGAATGAGCATCACACAAGCTGGTCTGTATGCGAGTGTGCATATTTCTACATGGCTGGATTTTTTTTTTTTTAATGATCGTGCAGACGGAGCTCCCACCTCTTTGCATCCGATCTCAGGGAGAACACACACACACGCACGCACACACAGTCAGATAGAGGTGGGATTGACAGCTTTTATGTTTTCTTAACTCCCACATATTTCACAAACTCCCACAACCACAATCCAGCAACACTGTTATTTTACGGCGCAGTTACTATGACAACACGCTCCTGATGTCCTACATCAGAGATCACAAATGACTAGCGAGGCAAGGAAGGTTCACAGACTCAGCTTCATCAATAATTAAAGGTCTCTCGCGCACACACACGTACGGCGCATCCTGTTTGTGGCTCAGTGTTTTAGCTGTACACACACACAATGTACAGGGAAGCTGAAAGGAGGTGGAAGTCGGGGGAAAGTGACTCAGTGATGTAGGAACAAGACGGAGCCCAGTAAAAAAACAATGTCGCCGCATAATGAGAATTAAAAACAAAAAAGTCAGCATGCTATATAGTCTCCGTTCTGCAAGGCCTGTCTTGCTTGGCTTGGTGTTGTCATGGACACAGTAACAAGCCAAAGAGTGCAGCAGTGAGTTATTGTTGTAATGCAGAAAGGACACGTGCTGGGGTTTTTTTTTGCACCGATAAATCATTGCCACAATCATTTTGAGACATAATCACCGCTAACAAAAGAGACAATCATGAAAGAAAAGAAACTCCTTCTGCCGTCACTGATCCTGCTTTTTACTTTCTACACCAAAGCATTAGATTTAGGACAGAAATCTGGAGATTTGCGGCACTTTTGCTGCAGTTTCAGTCTAAGCAAA